GAGGATTTCGTGACCAAAAACCCCAATAACTGATTGTGTCCCGACCCGGAATTAAAACCGGGGATCTTATCATCAGCAACTGCGTGTACGACACCACTAAACCAACGAGACAGTTCATTGGATTTCATTTCTTCAGGTAAAGGTAGGCTATTAGAAAAAGTGCTTGTTTTTGTACGTATACTTATAACGTTTATGTATAAGGATATTTTTTTAATAGAATAAGGGTGATAAGCTGGCGCACTGTCCACCTGATGGTAAGTAGATGCTGTAGCCCATTGACACCCACATCTATCTTAAATTAAGAATCAAAATTCATATGCATTGTGATCTAAGGTGGAATGCCTCATAACCAGTAATAAAGCATTCCAGTTCTCTACACTCACTATACGAAACGCAGCATTATTCTGTTATTTCACACTGGTATTCCTTAAGAGATCCATGCTCTACTTGTCGAGCCGACCTATAAGTGCTGCAGCTATAATGAAGCTGCAGAGTGACTCTACCACATCATAAAACGTGCACAATATATGAGACACTATTAATATACAACGATAGATACTACATTGCATCGAGTCATGTCTGTTGTTAAGCTCCCTTTACTCTGCATTTATATATATACATAAACATGCGGTGACTCAAGGGCTGTATTAGATAAACAAACACAATACAATCCTTTAAGAATTGTGGAATTAACATTGTCGCTTGCCCACACCGGCCCAACTTTTTTTTTATACTGATAAGATGACGCAAACGAGCGTGCAGTGACTACCGCCGCCCATGAACAACTGCAACACCAGGGGAATTGCAGATGCGTTGCCGGCCTTTTAAAAAAGAGTAATTATATCATTATTTTAATAAGTACAGTTTGTTACCATTTGACAAAGAAATTTCGTCAAATGTTTTGTCCTGTTTTTTATATTAAGGGAGTTGGATGGCAAACGTTACTTCGGTCTGTTAGACAGGGCAGAATTACTGTGAACTGCAAGTGTGGGTATATCTTGATTCTCAGGTTCATAATGATCTAACAATCCATGAAATGGTTTGAGCTTTGGCATTTAATTGTTTTCTATATTATCGATGGCTCTCATAATGAAGGTACAAAAGAGAATAGGTATAAATAAAAATACAAGTTTTTCTTTCAATAAAGTTTTATTTACAAATAATTAAAAAAAAATATGTGACCATTGTCACAGTAACAAATCTACACGGAACCCACAATTCATACTTTATGTATATATGTATAAGATAGCACTACCGGAATAGTAACCAGAACAAAATTGTTCTCTATAAATTAAAGAATATTATTTTTCCAATAATAAAAATTCATAAAAGTTTCCTTTCCTAAGAAATTACAATGTCAAGTTACGACCATAAACATGCAAGCTTTTTTGGTAAGACATATGCAAAAAAAAAATACAAATATATCAACTTTGTTATACGTTGAAATACATTATAAAACTGGCTTTAATAAAAATACCCTATTTATTTCCTAATTCCTAATAATAACTTGTTTTTGGATTGGTTCTTCCCGATGCAAATATCAGGCATTTTACATTTTTGAATATGGTTGCATACACAATACGTTTGTATATGAAAACATGATTGAAATTATAAATATAATAGTTAAAAAAGAAATAATTTTATGGATATAATATGACAAAACAAAATTCAATAAAATTTTATTTAATGATAAAAATATTTGCCAATAATTATTTTATTAATAAATTATCTAATAATGTTATTAAAATTGTATACAAAAAAACTACAACCAAAGGCTTAGAGCAGTTCATATCCAAGCTGTGACTTTACTAAATTGCCATAAAAATTCTTATATAATTCATACATATATCTAAAGTCCAGAGGTATTATCATTCATTATAGCTAAGTCGCAGACTAGTAAAATTGTGTTCACTGTACGAGGAAAAATTACGTTTTCGAATTATCAATGTAATCACTAAAAATATAGCAACAATCAACAAATTTAGCTAAACATTGAGACAACAGATAAGAACAATAATATAGATTAAAATTCACTAAAGCTAATTCGTTAGCGACAAAACATTTATTTAAGTTGAAATTTAAAATACTTACATGTTTACAAAAACTGTAAAACTTTCCGCACACGTATTACGCATGGGATTTTTTCATATTACATTTAATAAAAGTCACAAATTATTTAGTACTTAATAAAAATATATAAACAATTGAAAAATATTTATTATTCATCCATACATATATATATTTACCTAAAATTGCACAAATTTAATGCACATCAGCGAAATATAGGTATAAAGAATTAATTGTAGCTTAGGTAAATGTTTTTTCTTTCGGGATAATTGACAAAATGTATGCTATTATTGGAAAGCACATTTAATTTTTAGGTATTTAATGTTGGTCTGAAATGGCAGTGTTATATTTATTACTATTTCCTTGATATATTCAGTCTGTTATACGGTCAATAACATTTAAATAAGTTTGTAAACGATTTTCGTTATTACATTTAACACAATGCAAAACAACATGCAATTCTGATTATTTAAATTAATTAGTAAAAATTAAACGTAATGATACAGATAATGTATAAAGTGATAGAAACATCACAGATCTCTAATAAAATTCATTGTGATATCAACTTTCATCATATTGGACAATCCTAACCTATTTATAGTTATGCAATCGTAACTCTAAATTTCTTTTACACACGACCCAGCCTTTGATATGAAATAAAAATAATGTTACACGAAAGCCATATAGTCATTTTAAAGCATATCAAGCAAAATAGAAAACGAATTAACCTGATTCAATTATTATTTGCAATAAATGTTTCAAATTAAATACTGAAATTTCAATAAATAAATAACACGGAGACGTAAATAATGTGACGTAAAAATGACTTATACAGCTCAGGTGTATAAAATTTCATGAAAATTAGTAATTCGAAGAAGTAAAAATGTATAATTATTAAATATAAAATACATCAGATAAAAATTATCTATATAAAATGCCTATAAAGTTTTATTTTATTATGTGATTATTTATGTATGTTTAAATCTTAATATTTACAATTACATATTTAAATGTAAAAAAAAAACTTGTTCTAAGCTAAAATAAACATCTAATCACTAGCCATGTAATTCGCAATAACCGAAATGTTGAACTGAGCAGGCATTATATTGTATAAGATATTTTGACGTTGATTTCATTTAATTCTGGTTTTAATAATCTGGTCTCCTAGGCCGAATTTCAGTTACGGCGACCAGTCTCAACGGAGACTAGCCATCATATTAGCGTGACCTGAGAGAGATCATCCGCAGGACCAACGGCTTTATGCGATTTATTGAGGCACGGGATGAAACATTCCTGATTTTGAGAAAAATTTAATAACTAATTTGGGCCGGACCCGATATTTGAACCCAGGAGCACACGATCGACAGTCGCGCTTATGACCGTTGGACCAACGAGGTACTCAGTCTCGTTTTAATTTCATTTGCATTCTGTTGAGCCAACTAAAACTTATACATTCTCAGCATTTTTAGCAATAATTATTGATAAAAATGGATCTAAATGTAGTCTGTGAATACATGAAAAAGAAAAAATATGTAAGACAATATAATGCGAGTCCAGCCTTATAATAAACTCAGTCCTGGGTATATGTAAATATTTAGGCACGACACTTATTTTTAACTATATTATGTATGTTGATGTTAACATATAAAAACAAATTAAAATAATTATTTTTGTAATCAGAACTATATTCTATACACAAGAAAACTAACGCGCAAACATCAATATGCAGTATTATTTCATAACTTTCTTTTTTGAAGAAAGTTTGCAATTATTTGTTTAAATTTAATTACTAAAGTAAAATTGTAATGTCGAGACCACAAATGCAAGATTTAACAATACATTTGTTATTTATTATGACTAAATACTTATGCAGTGTTTCATTGAGCATAAAATATCACTCAACTACAATAACTACACATTACTCAAAAAGAAACTAAATAGTAAATTCATTGTAAAGACAAATTCTTTACTAACAAGAAAGAAATATTTTATGATTATGTGATGATTGTATGTGTGATTAATAAGGTCTACTTTGGCATACATGGCTTTAACAAAGCAATGGTCATATTCACACTACATTCATGTGCAATATATTGTATGAATACTTTACAGTATATGAAATTACATCTAAGATAATCCTGATTAAGGAAAATCGAACCTTTTTAATAAAACTATATGGGCGAAGTCGATGCTGATGTTAATTTACCTGTCAATTTGTGGCCAAAGAGGCGAAAATAGCTCAAGATGTATTATTGTAAATGCAGAATTCTGTACGAATGCTAAGACGGCAATTGATTTCGATAATAGTCTAACATTTATGTCAATCGTACATGTTTATCAATAACTTACTAGTTCTAAGTAAACGAAATTATTTTCTTTATGTATACAAACACAAAATAAATTTAGGAAAACACTAAAGTCAATTTTATTCAAACTTTTCTGGTGATATTACTGTATATTAACATTTATTTGTTCAGAATAAGTGAAAAAATCATGTAAGTTTATTTAGTCAGTCACACGATATATGATTTTTGCGACGCCAGAGTTCAAAGTTCAACAAACGTGCTATCTATAGAGCGTTAACAAAACAATGTACGAGACACAAATGCAGATGAATTTCGACCTTACAGACATAATTTTGCTAAATTAGCTATTCGATTAACTCTAGCGACTCATACGGACTTCAGAAGAAAATCGCTAAAACGTCGAGACATTTCTCAATCATTACATCAGTTTAATAGATTACAGCGATCGCAAATGAAAATCGACTCTATCGCTTCGAGGTAGCCCTAGTAATATCGACAAAATTCTTAAACGTTTAATTCATACTTCCTAAAAAGGCGTAACCGCAGCGGCGAGCGCAGGCGAAAGTGAACCTTATCGCTGTTCGTACCTGCTGCGGTTTACAGGTGCGACTCGTAAGTGGCGAGGGGTCAAAGTTGCGTGTCGGTAGGCGAGCGGGCGGCGAGCGGCGCAGCGTCAGGCGCCGGCTCGGCTGGATTCATGTCGATTCGGCCTGCCTTGCTCCACACCAGCAAGTCCATTATGAACGCGAGGAACATCAAACCAGCGGACAGACCTGCAAAAACAGCTCGTGCTTTAAACGAACGTTCTTTTTTCATTTCATTTATTTCGGATTACAAACAACAATAAGCATCAATTTATGTTGAATGGTACAATACATGTGGAATATAATGATTATTTAAACCTGACGTCCACAAAGGTATATATCTCTCCAGACCGATTCTAACTTTAGTTTTAATACGAATTATTTTTAGCACTACTACCCGTGCATTTAAACAATAGGATTGAAAAATGTTGTCGCCTCTATTCATCTCTCGCTCGCACTCTATCACTATCTATACTCACACCCGCCGGTAAAGACTACAACAAAAATACTTTGCGATATACGTATTTCGTACGTCTTAACCTCAGTCCGAATTGTCATTGGCATCAATGATAACAAAACGTCATAAACTGCAAAAACTATTCAGTCCGGTTTCGCTAATTTGTGAAATAGACGTGTTCTGAGAGTTTTGTTCATAATTATTGTTGTTAATATTTTTGTATAAAATATTTACACGCCTTTGAGACACGAGTAACCATTTTTAAAAATTTCGTTTGTCGTTATAACGATATATCGATATTAGCGGGTTTTCGCTATTGAATATTGACGGTACGGGGTACGGACTACGGACTCGATGATTCGCAATTTCTAAGCCCATTCTTTATCTCTACAGACTGTAAAATATTTTACGCTGTTCAGCTACCTGTAGAGACCGTGCAGCGGCGGTGTAAAAACATCCACTACCTGGCTGGCTGGCTAGCTAGGCTGTCGTTGTCGTAGGGGGAGCAGGCGCCAAGCAGGTCTCAAGCGACGTCCCGAAGGTGGCACGCTGCGTCCACCATTCATTCATTCATTCATTCGTTCGACCGCTCGCTCGTGTGTTATAAGTAGCGGCACGAAAGTCTAGCGGTGACCCAAGTACTATGCTCAATCGATAGGGGTGACCGTTACTGCACATAAGTCGCGCTGATTGGCTCTCCAGTCGTAGTCGTGCAATTAATTCAATTCGTGCGTGTCCCCTCCACGTTTCGTTCAACGCTAGACTTACGTGCCGCGAATTGTATCTAGATAGAAATGCCACAGGCTGTCATTGAGTAGGCCGCAGACCGCATCGCGCAGGCAGCACGCCACATTCACCATTCATTCATTCGTTTGTTAGTTCGCTCGCTCGTGGTTTACTTAGGTAGAAGTGCCGCAAGCTGTCATTGTCGTAGGAGGCGCAGGCGCCGAGCAGGCCGCAAGCCGTATCACGCAGTCGGCACGCCACGTTCACCATTCATTCATTCGTTTGTTCGTTCGCTCGCTCTTGTGTTACTTAGGTAGAAGTGCCGCAAGCTGTCATTGTCATAGGAGGCGCAGGCGCCGAGCAGACCGCAGTCCGTATCGCGCAGTCGGCACGCCACATCCACCATTCATTAATTCGTTCGTTCGTTCACTCGCCCGTGTGTTACTTAGGGAGAAGTGCCGCAGGCTGTCACTGTCGTAGGAGGCGCAGACGCCGAGAAGGCCGCATCGCGCAGGCGGCACAACACGTCCACCATTCATTCATACGTTCGACCGCTCGCTCGTGTGTTATAAGTAGCGGCTCGAAAGTCTGGCGGTGACCTAAGTACTATGCTCAATCGATAGGGGTGACCGTTACTGCACATAAGTCGCGCTGATTGGCTCTCCAGTCGCATTCGTGCAATTAATTCAATTCGTGCGTGTCCCCTCCACGTTTCGTTCAACGCTAGACTTACGTGCCGCGACTTGTATCTAGATAGAAATGCCGCAGGCTGTCATTGAGTAGGCCGAAGACCGCATCGCGCAGGCGGCACGCCACATTCACCATTCATTCATTCGTTTGTTAGTTCGCTCGCTCGTGTGTTACTTAGGTAGAAGTGCCGCAAGCTGTCATTGTCGTAGGAGGCGCAGGCGCCGAGCAGGCCTCAAGCCATATCACGCAATCGGCACGCCACGTCCACCATTCATTCATTCGTTTGTTTGTTCGCTCGGTCTTGTGTTACTTAGGTAGAAGTGCCGCAAGCTGTCATTGTCATAGGAGGCGCAGGCGCCGATTAGACCGCAGGCCGTATCGCGCAGTCGGCACGCCACATCCACCATTCATTCATTCGTTCGTTCGTTCACTCGCTCGTGTGTTACTTAGGGAGAAGTGCCGCAGGCTGTCACTGTCATAGGAGGCGCAGACGCCGAGAAGGCCGCATCGCGCAGGCGGCACGACGCGTCCACCATTCATTTATTCGTTCGTTCGCTCGCTCGCTGGTGTGTTACCTAGGTAGAAGTGCCGCAGGCTGTCGTTGTCGTAGGACGCGCAGGCGCCAATCAGTCCGCAGGCCGTGTCGCGCAGGCGGCACGCCGCGTCCACGGCGGCGCCGAACACGATCGGGCACGGCACATTGCCGAACACGCCGATCGCGAACTGGATCACGCCCATCGCCATCGCCTTGTCTGCAACGATACACCACGCATGACGCAATCAAATCTCAATTATTACTAATGCTCGAAAGTCCACCGTAATTCATAAAATCTTTAAGTTTGTATTTAATTTTCAACATTTTTAATAGAATAACGGTTACAACCAAGCACACAATCCACCTGATGGTTATTGAACACTGTGGCCTATAGACATCTACATCTATTCTCGATTAAGATTCAAAATTAACACCACTGATGACTAAGATGGAATGCCTTTCTAATACAAAGGGTCTCCGGTTCTGTGCATTCACCATAAGAACACACAGCAGTATTGACTTTAATTTACTTTACGCTAGTATTCTATAAGAATATTGTTCTTCCCCGGTCGAGCTGACCCATTGTTACTACAACCATAATAGAGCAGCAACAAGGCTCTACCATGTTGAGAGACGTCCTCTGTCAAATGTCATATTTTAAAATCTACTAAAATTTACTACCGTTTCTAAATGAGATACCACTGACAGGAGAATAAAAGGCAAAGAGAGTCTTCAATTATTACCTTTTTAAAATTTTATATCACATATCATCATCATCATCATCATCATTACAACCTTTCTCAAGTCCACTGCTTAACATAGGCATAGATTCTGAGGTATACCTGACGAGAAGATTTGTCGTAATCTTCCGAACACTGCCCAGCTGCGTTGAATCGATTGACCTCTCCACAACTTCGAGCTTAGTACTCCCAACAACTACCGGCATAGGTGTGACATGGACGTTATACATGATCTTTGTATTGTCTATGTTTATCTTAAGAACTATTTGTTGGGAGGCACTATTGAGGTCATTGAGCATAGTACTTAAGTTTTAGCGATTCTGCCTATATCATCGGAAAATTGAAGGTGAGTGATGTAGTTACCATTGATTTTAATACCGTATCCTTTCTAGTAGCTTGGAAAGGTGAAACGAAATGCAGCGGTGAAGTGTTTATATAACGGGGATATAACGTCACCCTGTCTTACACCTCTCTACAGTTGGATAGGTTTCTTACTCTGATTCTGTAATCGGACAGCCATCGTAGCCCTACTGTACAAACACTTCACGTCTTCGATATATAGACAGACAACTTGGCTCCGCTGAAGGGACTGCAGCACCGCCCAAATTTCGACGAAATCAAAGGCTTGCTCATAGTCCACATACGCAAGACAATTTGCCGAAGGGTATGTACGTGGCCCATGGTGCTAAAGCCTTTTCGGAAACCGACTTGTTTAGGAAGCTGGAAGTTGTGGAGTCTGCGTTCGCGACGATTTGTAATGACTCTCTAATACACGTGCTGTATTCGAGAGTCGTGAGAGATGCGGCCCAGAAGGGAAATTGGTCTGCAGTTTTTCAAGAGAGCGTTGTCGCATTTCTTGAAGAACAAGACCACTGCACATCTGCTTCACGCCCCCAGAGTAGTGCCACCATGGAGGACAGTTTTTTTTTTTCAGAAACTCCGCTGTAATTCCATCCTTGCCCAGGGCTTTGCCGTTTTTAGGTGTTGAAGAGCCATTCGAATCTCGCTCAGACTGACGTCCGGAATATAATCAATCTCAATCAAAATCTTAAGTGTCCCGACAACAATGCTACCACACTCGGTCTTCAGCTTTGATAGTTTGCTCTTTCTGGCAGACAAATCTCTGGCAACGACTTTGGAGCCCTGGTTCCGCTCGATCGCTTCTTCAATACGAGCTGTATTGAAGTTCCATAAGTCCAACTGCATGAATTTGGAGATCAGTCAGTTCATATGCCTGTAATCTGTCATCTGATGAAAACTGCAGCTTCATCTTCCGTATAACAGCCATGAGATTAACAGTGTGATCGGAGAGTTTTTGTGTTCTTCTGCGACGGGTTTTGCAGAACTCTCACGAGCTCACGACCGATCGAACGAGCTTGTCATTCATACCTTCAGCTTTTTAATTATTAATTTTGGTCCGATCTACGCAGAATGAACTAACTGTAGACTCCGGGTTAACTTTGACATCGGGACGTCAATCACCTCAGTCCCCCGTGACCACGGTTGCTGGAAAGCAACCGAAACGTCGGGAATATAAAATAAGTTAATTAAACGCGATAAAATCCGTAAAAATAGTTTTACTCAATGTGTAGTGTTCGCGTAAATATAAGAAATCATAAATAATTTGGTTTTTTTTTTCATTTTGTACATAGTTTGTTTGTACTTTGTTCATGCTTTTCTTTTGTCCGTGTATTGTATTGTGTGTAAATATCTTTTTCTTTCGCTCAAGCAAAACCAAACGGCTTTTTTCAGAGCCACCGAAGGTATGCAATTGCTGATACATCATACAAACTATCTAGCAGTAGTATGACTTCTGTGTGCTTTGTTAAACACGTCCTCGACATCACTGAATATGAAACTGAAGAGGGGAGACGAATCAAGATTGGTGTATTTTTATAAAACTGCTAAAAACAACAAAACCATATCTTGGGCTTAACCCAGTTTGGAACCCTAGCTTTGTCACTGGGCATATACGGTATTCTGAACTCAACCATATGCTATAATCCTCGTACCATGTTTGTCCATGGCAGCACATGATAAGCATCACTGCACCGCCCTCACTGGTTATGTACATGATAATCCAAACTAGACCTATCCAAACTAGTATAGAGATACGCTTGGCGTAGGGTCTAGTTGCAATTCGTGCACCATGCTTGTCACTGCAGTGAATGACGAGTAGCACACCGCCGACCTCGCCAGTGGTGTACATGATGACCTGAACCGAACTTGACGCGTAGTAAATAGAGTTACAATTCAATCACCATGCTTGTCCGTGCAGCATATAATAAGCAGCACAGGACGAAACTCACTGGTGGCGTGTATGATAATCTAAACTGAATTTACGCCTTGTAAATAGCGCATGACGTGCAGCACAGCGCCCGCTTCGCGCGTGGCGTATATGATAATCTGAACTGGTCCTTACGCCTAGTGAATAGAGTTATAATTCGCGTACCATGTTTGTCTGTGCAACGTATGATGAGCAGCACGGCGCCAACCTCGCCAGTAGCGTGTATGAACATAGAGGCCGCGAAGATGGCAATAAACGCGTAGATCTGCCGGCAGGGGCCGCCACACTCGCCGCTCACCGCCAACCCACCCCACTCAAGCTGCGATGAATTCATCACTTCGTACCGTTCGAGGCTGGGAACAAAACATTTGTTTATTGATGAAATATATTTTCCAAACCATGCTTATATCCTTCCATTCCTTTTCCCTTGGTCATTTTGAGTGATTTTAATATACACCATACTGAGCCCCATAAGGCTCTCTATTTTTGTGATCCCAGGTCCGCTACATTTATAGATATCATTGACGGTATCTATAAATGTAGCGGACACACAGCGGATACGCGGTAGAGCCATGCTACAGCTATATTACAGTTGCAGCACAAATGGGTTGCCTCAACCGAGAAAGGACCACGCCCTCACAGAATACCAGCGTAAAATAGCAGCTAAATACTGCTGTATTTTGTATGGTGAGTGTAGAGAACCGGAGACCCTTTTTACTGGAAACGAGGCATTCCATCTACTTCCTTACGGGGTGACAACGCATCTGCATTTGAATTCTTAATCGAGGATAGATGTAGATATCTACGGACCATAATTTGTCACCGTTATTTTATAAAAAAAAAAGATTGCCAATGGTTTTTACTGATACTAGTTCTGCTTCAACATTGGCCTGTTGGGAGTCCACAGCTGCCCCCGAACTCCCGCGGCGCAAGGACGATGTGCCTAATCATCACACTTGGCTGGCGAATTGACGAGCACATAACCAGACGTCTCGCACTGGCGGCCCATCGCCGGGCTGGATATTATACGTAGATAATGTATTAGAAAGCTGAAGTGACAATATGTCAACCATATAGCTCGAACAATCAACAAAGGATGGCAAATGGTGAGCTCGTACCGGTAAACAAAATGTAGGGCTAGGCCTAGGTAGTGTAAAGGCCCCCCACTAAATGGAAGGACGAGTGACCTACAGACTTACACAGGTAATGACCGGGCACGGGTACTTCAGTGATTATTTGTGTAAGATAGGACGCGAAGCAACGGCGAACTGTTGCCACTGCGTTGGGCAGCACCAGGACTTCGCATCCCTTACGCTAGCAACATGCCCAGCGTGGGAACGGGAGCAGATGGTCCTGGTAAGCGGGATCGGTCAGAACCTCTCGCTGCCAGCAGTCGTGTCGGCGATGCTGAGCAGGGACTCCGCGTCACCCCGAACATCTAGTGATGTAACATCTGAGGAGTACGGTGACTCGGAAGTGGCCTCGAGCACCGTGATAGCATTGCGAAGATGCTGGGGGCAGTAAGTACCCGGGACGTACGGACGGACGGAGATCCCGGGGCCCCTCATATACGCTGATGGTGACCACCGTGGGGTTTTGACCGGTAGGAGTCCGGCATAACCTTTCTGTTGCCCCCGCAGCAGAAGGTATCCACGAGAATTTCCTCACGAAAAAAAGGCCTATGTAGTGTAAAGGCCCCCCACTAAATTGAGTGACGATCTTGTAAGATATGCAGGAAGTCGATGGATACAGTGTGGTGGCTCAGGATGGCGCTATGTGGCATTCCTATGTTCGGCAGTGGACATGTAAAGGCCTGTAATGATGATTATGATAGCGATTAACTATTACAGTGGTGCCGGCGACGGTCTAATTTAAAGAAGTGGTAAGTTAAAATTAGTCAGAATCGGTACTCACGTGTTGAGGACCTTCTCGCCGCGCTCGTGTTCGTCTACGCAGGAGCAGTTGTAGTAGAGCCACGTGCTGTTGTCGAGCTGGCGGCTGCCCGCGCAGCCCGCCTGGCACGCCGACACGTACGTGAACGCGTCCTGCGCACACCCACCGTACCGTTGCCGTTAACGTTACAGACTATTAAAGTCCACTGCTGAACATAGGCCTTCCCTATACATTGCCTCATAGGGACGATATTTGCCATGTTGTTGGCAACCGCAGTTTTTTTTTATTTTTAGTCGTTATTAGGAAGACGCTGTTTCCCATCTCTTGATTTGTTTCCCTCTGTCGCCTCTTACGACACCCACAGGATGATATGGGGTAGCGGATATTCTTACACCGCCACTAAGCGATAACGGACACCGACACACCACATCAATACACACACAATGTTCGCACGCATACATACGTACACACACGCACTCATAAGTACACCATACGTTTGTGCTCACACAGGTACGTGCTTTTGTGAGAACGCACACACGCAGATGCATACGCACCCACAAATACACAAACATGCTCGTACACAAGCACCCGCTGATACACACATGCACGTTTGTGTACACTCAGCAGATATGCACCCCCCTGCAATTACATATAAGCGCATTTGTGAGTTAAAGTAAAAATATACGCATTCGCTTATATACGTGATGTATGCCATACAGATGCACTCACGTTCGTACACAGGCACACACTGGCGGGTAGATAGTCGGAAACACACAATTAGTTAACAACACACTTTTCTTTGCGAATCTTTCGCGTAACCCATATCGATAGTATATATGTTATAGTTAAAATTTATAACTGGTCAAAACCACTTTTGACTACGAAAATCAGGCAAAAGTAGTTTTGACTAGGGAAGTTTGTAAATATCACTTTTTACTGATGTTTGCAGTCAAAACTAGTAGTAATTTGACTAAGGACGTTGGTCAGAACCACTTTTAACTGCAAAAATATTGGGTAATAGAGATTATGACCAAATTATATCGGTTAAAAGTGGTTTGACAAACAGTGTTAGTCAAAACTTCTTTAGACTTATACTTTTTGAATTTTTAAAATTAGAAAAGTTCAATTAACTGCGAGTTTTCACCGATAGTCTGAACTTTAAATGAGACAAAATAACTTTTGACTAAGAACGTTGACTACAAAAATCAGTCAAGTGTTTTTGACTAAGGGCATCAGTCAAAACCATTTTTGCCTGATTTTTGCGGTCAAAATGGTTTGACCGGTTATGAGTTTTGAATGTGACATATACAATAACTGCGGTTGCCAACCCACCTACAAAGAGTGGAACTTATCGTTAAATCCCCCGATGAGGCGTAACTACGGGAGAAACCTATGTTCAATGGTGGACCTTTGAATGAATGAATGAAAATTATTGCTTAGTGTATTAATATTAGTGTTGTATCACAACGTAAAACACTAACTACTACTAATAAATTAAACCAAAATAAATATTTAGTAAAGAAAGAAATTCTTCTGCCCTAATCTTGGTGGACTTGACGTTATGTAACTTAAAATGTGGCCTATTATTTTCTGTCTGGCGACCGACTAGCTGGCTGACTGGTGACGGGAGACCAGAGCGAGGGTCCCGCACAAGTCCACCTATCCAGCATTGCAAGTATCGATTAAATCTATGAGGTTATGCAATCCAGTCGACGTTTTCTTGAAAAGGTATCCGCAGCATCCAGCAGTGAATTAGAAATTAATGCATGAGACATTCTTTAACAATGTACATTAGAATAATGCCAAGTTAAAATGACCTAAGGTAAAAAATTCGATATAAATACATTATTTATATAGAATTTTTTTTCTTCTTTGTTCAAAATCAATTGATTATTATGTAACACTAGCCGATCTGCCCCGGCTTCGCACCGGTGATTTCTGGATCTCGACAAGCGCGTTACCTACCGGGTCCAACTCTAAATTTAAACCGTCCAGGGACCCACTCAAGTACACCAAAATTTTATCAAGATCGTTAGAGGCATTTTTGAGCTTTAGCGAGACTAACGGACAGTAATCGATCTTTATATATAGAGATTAAATGAGGGCAGAACTTTAATTAAAAAAGAAATTTAGAATTTGGTACATATATTGTAAAAATTATTCCAGATAAATTCACTTACAGACTAATATAGATTAATACACCTACGTGTGTATGATACAAGTTAATTAAAAATGCTTTACCTGGCCACAAACGGGTGTGTAGGCGGCGCCATCACAGTGACAGTTGGCACTACACGACAGGTTGCTTGTGACACCGTTTTCGCTCAACATTCTAAAACTCTCTTCGGGACAACTGATAAACATCAATAGCACCATACCTGTAATTAAATAATTTAATATACAGAAAAATATAAAATATAATAATATATTGTAACAATTTATAAAGAAAAATTTGAATCACAGTTTCAGTTTAATAAATTTTGTTATTTTAATTGCAATTGCTAAGCATTTTTAAGAATAATAATTTTATGCGAGCACAGAGTCCACCTGATTTTTTTTATAGGATAAGGGTGACAAGCGAGCATACAGTCCACCTGATGGTAAGTGGTTGCTGTGGCCCATAGACATCTACATCGATTCTCGTATGCGAATCAAAATGCAGATGCGTTGTCAGCCGTGAGGACTAAGATGGAATGCCTCTTTTCCAGTAAAAAAGGTCTCCCGTTAATCCATTAAGCTGCTATTTTACGCTGATATTCTGTGAGAGCGTGGTCCTTCCCCGGTCGAGCCGACCCATTTGTGCTACAACTATACAATTAATATGGCTCTAGCACGTGTGAAAATGATGATAAGTGTATGTTGTATTCCATAGAGCCATAGACCCTTATATAAATTGTCAATTAAAAATCATAATGGAAATGCATTACCCCCTTAAAGACAAGGACAGACTCATAAGTAGTAATAAGGGTAACCAGATCTTGTCAATCAACAAACGCAACCCAGCAGCATTGTACCGCTATTTTTACACAGGTTTTCCCTGCAAGCATGGACGTTCCCCGGTCACGCCAACCCATTCGTGCCGTAGGCAGAATACAGCTGCTGTACTGTAGTTCAACCACGTACTAGTGTTCACATATTAAGGTGTAATGAACATGTCTTCTCTTGGAAAGCATAACCCAACATTTATTAGACTTTTTGTTAATCCCAATATAATTTGTAGTTATTTTAGTAAAATCACTACACTCAAAATTAGCAATTACTTAACTGTATCTTTAAAAATTATTAAATCCCACGTTAAAAAAGTGGATAAAAAGACCAAGATATAAAAGCCAAAATTATTTATTTTGTGAACCTTACCCGCACTATATAAAGCAGCTGAGGCGGCCGTCCAAGCAGCTACCTGTCTTGCTGTCGGTACCAATTTCAATATTACCACCCCTGAAGTTATTATTCCCAATCCCATGACGAGAATACCACCCAGACCTGAAATAAGAGCCGACGCTATAAAAATGCAATATCTTTCATTATAAAATACCTATACACAATTGGTGTCATAAAAATATTGTTTTTTTTTTATTAGTACAATTTATTCAAGAATTTATACTATACAGCAAGCATCGTGGAGGCAGTTTATATTTATAAATTGCACGAGGACAATTCACAAGAATGAGGGCATCCACGACTTATTCCGCCACCAGGGCGGCTTCACTTTGGAATGAGCTGGAATATTATAGAAATAACCCCCGAGAACGAAGTGATCGCTAACAAGCTATTTCTAATTTGTTTTGTATTGTTAATTGTGTAACATATATGATTGTAAGTTGTTAGTTTTTTTTTTTAAATCCCGCTAGTTTTCTTGCTGTTTCCTCCCAGGACAGAGGTCTTTTTTTCCGAACCAGTGGTAAATTAAACAAAAGAGTGACTTTCAATGAGTACCTACTACTACTACTACTACTACTATTTACAATTTAATAAGTAAACAAGTTTATGTTTCTGTTTCTATTTGACGGATTTAGCGATGAAGCTAATTTGTTAGTGAAACGTAAGGGTTTATGTTTATTTCTGTAATATTAGTTATATTTTAAATTAATTAGGTTATACATGAATAAACCAAACTGCGGATATTCCTAAAAGTAGATAAATTAAAGTGTAAACAATTAAACAACAAAATACTGAGGCGTTGTTTTGTAATGCTCTAGAAACTAATAAACTTTTATTTAAACCTAAGTTTTCAATTAAATGATATTGTGTAACAAACAAGGTCACCTCAGGCCCAACTAGCGACATCTGGTGAGCGGTAGATTATTATTACAAGATATTAGCCCCAATTGATCGATAAACAAATTTGCAGTTTTACCAATATGAATGTTCAGCGTAGTACCTCACCCGAGACAAGGTTGGCGTCATGAGTCGGCAGCCGGAACTGCTTCTCTAAGTATTTGGGCAGGAAGCTGTACACCCCGCTGATCGGCATGAGGTGCAGAACGGAGCTCGCCGTTCGCCACATGAGAATGTCGTTTGTGACTTGCCTTTTTATTGTCGCAAAGAAATCTGAAACATAATAACAGTCAATAAGTAAAAATCACAACGTTTTATCTCCTACTTTGTGGTTATCCCATAAAAATATATCTATACAAATAAACAGAATTGAAGAGTCTGTTCGTAATGTCAAAATAACAGCTTTTTACTAATTGCACATGAAAGAATATACGGTACCTACTTATAACAAAAAAAACAATTTTTAAAAATTTTGTCTGTCTGTCTGTTTGTTCCAGCTAATCTCCGAAACGGCTGGAGCGATTTTGACGGGACTTTCACTGTTACAAAGAATAACTTAGACTACTTATATTTTTTTAAATAATTAGGGTTCCGTGCAACATTACAAGCAGGCGATTTCGCGGGAAACAGCTAATAATATATAAAACATAATGTTCTCCAGACAGAATTTCCATTCCTACCGTAGTCAGAATTTTCAGTTCGCAGGACAGTATTATAGTGGCAGAGTGTATGGACAAGCACAGGTGCACTCTCTATTCCCTCACTCTCATAGTCCGATGGGACGGTAATCCGACACGACCGGAGAGAGTTCGTGTTTTTCCGAGGCACGGGGATGAAACAAAGAAAAGTTATTGAGAATTCCTTGAAAGTAAAACTCAATAACTAATGTTTTTTTGGTCCACCCCGGGATTCGTACCAGAGACCTCATGATCAGCACCAGACCAACGAGGCAGTTACAAAAATATAATGCTGAGTCAGATGCCTGTTTGTTACTTAAATAATAATGTTTTAAAATATGTATATTTCACTTATAGAACAACATGTAATAGAAAAATATCCAATACCATTTGAGGCATCAAATAATGCTTTTTCTTTTAACTAGGCAAAACTAGCATATTCCATGGCGTGATATTCATTTTATTTAGGAATCATAGCATTGTAGTTAATAACATAACTATATCTTCAATAGAGCGTTTTACGTGGTAGAGCCATGCTGCAGCTATATTAATAGTATAGTTGTAGCACAAATGGGTCGGCTCGACTGGGGAAGGACGACGCTCTCACAGAATACCAGCGTAAAATAGTAGCTTAATGCTGCTGTGTTTCGTATGGTGAATGTAGAGAACTGGAGACCCTTATCTTAGTCCTCACGGCTGACAACGCATCTGCAATTTAATTCGCGCACGAAGATAGTTGTAGATGTCTATTGGCCACAGCAACCACTTACCATCAGGTGGACTGTGTGCTCGTTTGTCACCCTATTCTGTAAAAAAAAGCAGCGTCAAAGGTGTTAGACGTCTGGTACTGTATCGTCATTCTGCCTGCCAATCCTGGCAATTAAAACAAATCCTAAACAGAGAGTGCAAACGTGGACTTTTACGCGCTGATAATAGCCGGTCAATTTATACACAATAGTTTGATTGAGAAAATCATACAATACAGCTGAAAGTGTAATTTATCTTGGATCTACACAACCGATTCAAACAAAACTATGCGATGGTTTTTAAAAGACCTCGCCGTAAATTTCACTACACGCGAGTAACATCCGGTGCAATATCCGGCGGCCCCAATGAAATTGTTAATTGCAACTTTAAGAGCTGATTTAACACGTGCTTGTCGTTGATGGAAAATTTCGTGTCTGAAAAACTGCATGTCTAAGAATAGAAAAAAGAATAAGCATTGAAAGAATTGAAAACCAAAAGTTTCGAGGACATATGAAGTTCGCCACGCGCATTAGACGCGGTCAGAAACGAGACGAAGCCTGTGCCCTATCTGTGGGCATATATATGTACTTTAATTATTGAACTAACATTACTTATTACAGTGAATATTGCATATGATCTTGCATTGTAGTTTTTATAACGTTAAAAGTTTGAGAACCACTCCAATGTCAGAAATCAACATCCAGGATTTAGAAAACTTTTTTGATAGGATAAGGGTGACAAACGAGCACACAGTCCACTTGATGGTAAGTAGATGCAGTGGCCCATAGACATCTACATCTATCCTCGATTACGAATCAACATACAGATGATGCATTGTGAGGACCAAGATGGAATGCGTCGTTTCCAGTAAAAAGGGTCTCCGGTTCTCTACACTACTGCTATACGAAACACAGCAACGTTAAGCTGCTATTTTACGCTAGTATTCTGTGAGAGCGTGGTCCTTCCCCGGTGGAGCCGACCCATTCTTGCTACAAATATAACTCAAACGAAGGATGTGCATAAATTGAAGGTAAAATTTCAGTTTAAAAAAAGTTTTTGTTTTGTTAAGTTTTTATATTGAGCAGAGAATATCAAATTCAAATAAATTTTTAAATAATTACGAAATTAGTAACATAGTATGTAAAGTACCTTTGAAGAAAGGTTCATTCTTCTCCTTGCTCTTCTTCGGCGGCAGCGGCTGCGGACTCTGCTTGATTTGACGCGGGAAGAAGAACATCAGCACCGAAAGGATCACTATAAATCCCGCTATAAACACCATACCTGCAAAAGAGAGTTTCTCGTGTACTTGATGTACGGCTTTTACGAACAAATCAAATACATCGATAAAAAAAATCTAATAAATGGGAACATCGCTTGCACACATAAACAACCTCTGAACCTAATCGCATATACCATCTCCGATCCGTCGTGGGTGGAAAAAAAAATTAATCAATTAAATAATACTCCAGTCAAAAAATCATATTTTCAAAACTGTGCACTCAAACAAGTTTGTGATTAAGTACTTCCTTTGATAAGAAAATAAAACGTTGATAGTATTTTATTATTGCTTAAAAATTTTAACAAATCAATGAGTGACAAATGAATTTAGTGCATACTGCTACGAATGTGTAAAAGTTATCCTTACATATTCGTTCTATAAAGTATATTCAGGTTTATATTATGAGTAAAGAGAAGATATATATAATACAGACTGTCCCAAAACTTAGTGTAAAGCGGATACCGTGCCAGAGGCCATGTTGTACCAGGTCCGGCAAAAAAAAAATACAAAAATACTACATATGTCACTTAGTTATAATGGGCATATACATATTCTGAAATGTTGCAATCGACACCCTGAACAACATCTTTAAGTGCAGTGATTATAAATTTTCCAATTTTGCAGTGTTTTTTCATAATGTAATCCTTAAACAATAACTTAACAATGATATTTCATATAATACGCTCTTATCTATACAAATAAATAAAAATGAAGTGTCTGTTTGTAATGTCAAAACAACAGCTTTTTACTACATGCATATGAAAGTCTATATGGTACTTATAACAAAAACACAATTTTTAAAATTTTTGTCCATCTGTCTGTCTGTTTGTTCCGGCTAACCTCTAAAATGGCTGAACCTATTTTGACGGGACTTTCACTGGCAAATAGCTGATGTTATAAGGAGTAACTTAGGCTACTCTTATTTTAGAAAAAGAATTAGGGTTCCACGCAAAAAAATTTAAAACGCTAAATTACATGCGGGCGAAGTCGCGGGGAACAGCTAGTGTATTATATTTAAGAAGTGCATACCAATAATGCATGTCCGCTTTGTATACATTTGTAAAATTTATATCTATTTTATTTTGTATTATTCTATCAGCTTTTTTTCTTACATAAAAGTACTTCATTCTATTTCTGCATCTGCCCAAGGTAAACTAGTATAGAACGCCTCAGGCATTAAGTCCGCCACCACGTGTGTATATGAAGTCGTCCGATGTATAATAAGCCAATTAATTATGTTATTAGCCATTTATAACCTTTGCCATACTGCAACACCGCGAAAAAATGCACCTCTTTCATCGAATAGTATAGGAGTATGACACGACTAACGAACACAAACACGATTGTAAAATTTTGACTCGATCATAATTATTTGCGAAAACACCTCTAAAATCACTATAGTTGAAATTACAACGAAATTACTGAATCTATATGCTTGGGAACCACTCAGGTACATTCATAACATCAATATTCGTAATATACTTGCTCATTATTTTGATTACTGAAATCAATAATTTTTTAAAAATATTGCATGCCGAGCGCAAAGCGCATAGGTATGTTCTACTAGCGCCTAATTTTTAAATTCTAAGCGATTTCTAAGGGGTCTTAACCGTCGCGGGCGCTACGCAATTTTAGACCTTATAACGGCGTTTTTGAAGAAATTATGCTTCACTCTGGTTAGTCCGGCGATAACCCGGTTCAACGGTTTTCGATGTGTCGCCTTAACATTTAGTCCGAATATAACCTGAAATTATTACAGTTTGCAAGGGAGGAGTGTAGGTCCTGTCATGAAGTCCGTGTGGTTGTTCAGTTATAGTTCTAGTACTATCATTTATTCTGTTGTTATAGGGAATAACCATCTAAAAATACTAGGCCGGAAAATGTCTATAGTACCTGAGAAATACTTAAAGTACTTATAGTAAAAATTTGTATGCCAAGAATCTGTCGATAGGAAAAGCCAAAGATGGCAAAACCAAAGGTAACTGTTATTTACCGATACATGGTACAGGGAACAGTCAAGCTGAAACCGTGATATAACTTGTGACGTCTACAACTAAGAATTGTTAACGTTACAAACTTACAAAATATTCTCACGCAGTGTTGTAAGCGACAACTACAATCGGTATATTTACGACAAACGTAATAATTGAACATGACTTCCAACCATTTTCTAAATTATTGCGTGAATGAAACGACATGCGTGCGGCATCTATCTTATTTTATTTGATTCGTTGATACATCATGTGATTCGCTAATAAACATTGTGAATAGTTGAAAATGTTCAAACAAAGTAGTAGGCGTAGTATTGATCACACCACATACCGTTGTAAAAAATATTTTATCAAATACATAAGCCCCGTAGTAGGAGAAATCCGAGCGCTTCATTCATTTCAGGTTACACGTGTAACTTGACTCGGTGAAGGCACAACTAATTAATTGTTTTTTTTTTGATAATTAATAGAATCAGGCGTTACTTTGCAGAAGTCCATTATATTAAAGTTGGTAAAAAATACTTCGCGTACATCCACTCGATAAAATAAAATGATGTGTCTTACCTAGCTCTTCACCACTAATCCCAGCACCACTCTCAACACCACTACACTAGGAAAGACACACCACTGGCGACAATACGACACATGTTTCGCCTCAACACGAGGCATCTTCAGGTAATCTAGACTCTGCGGTGGCTGACCTCTAAGTCAATACAATTAAAAGACCGCAATTGAGGGAGGGCGGGAGGTGCTCTTCAAACTAGGTAAGAAACATCATTTTATTTTATCGAGCGGATGTACGCAAAGTAATTTTTTACCAACTTTAATTTTTTTGTAATCAAGCTTAAAATGAAACTTGCATGTTGGTACATCTACATATTTCGTGTAATATTTAGAAACACCACTTCCTTTAAGGTGGTACTTAATAAGATGTTACATTCGGCTGTACTTTTTTCCATAAATTTCGAAATTAGTTTTAAAATAAACCTTCAACAATGAAGAATCATAATGGTTTAAGTAATTAAGAAAAGTAATTAGAACCGCGGATCCCAAAGCGTGACGGAATCTTTACAAATATACTACTTAACTAGCTTTTATAACTACATGAAAAAAACTTGGCTTCTCATTACAAAATAATTAGTAACGAAAATAATCCGTACAAAAGTACGCTATCACGCAATGTTCACTAACACACGACAGTGTATTTTCCAATCGCCGCTAATAATAAAAATGGACATTTAGCAGCCGTATAGATTTGTACAAGATATTATAACTTCGCAAATCTTTTAGCCCCATTATCTATGCAAGAATGAATCTAATTAATTCTGCACACCGCGTCAGCGACTACGTGCAAAGAAATCCGTATAATCGGCTACGCGAAAAATATGCTAATGAATAAACAAAATACGAGGCTACCATAGAAACCAGTCATCATCCATTGTATATATATTCAGAACATCGAATGCAATAATATACACTAATTAATACCAATTATCAGTCCAGAAGCTAAAGCTTATTTGTTTAGCTAATTGCAAGTCATTGATCAATTCTATTGTCTGACAAGCACACATATGTTATACGATCAGATGTACGCTTAACTTTGGCTAAAATACGGCTCATAAACGCTCAGTTTGGGTCCTATTTTACTAGGTTTAATATTTATCAAATAGGTATTTAAGAAATCATAAATGAGCTCTGAACTATTTGGTAAAATCAACTGTTACTAAATATTAATCCCATCAAAAAATCTGTAGTTTTGAAAAATATATTAAAGCTTTATAAGAATCATTCTAAAATATATACGCCGTCATTCTAAAATATATAAATCGGTCAAAGGAGATAAGTCCCAGTAATAATTTGACTAATAATTTGCAGTGACTTGACGGCGTAAGAGATTCTTTCACCCCATTTAGTCCCGTGTGTGGCATCCCGAAGCGACTATGGGAAAAGTTAGAAGAATTTTTTACGTGGTAGAGCCATGCTGCAGCTATATTACTGGTATAGTTGTAGCACGAATGGGTCGGCTCGACCGGGGAAGGACCACGCTCTCACAGAATACCAGCGTAAAATACTAGCTTAACGCTGCTGTGTTTCGTATGGTGAGTGTAGAGAACCGGAGACCCTTTTTACTGGAAAAGAGGCATTCCATCTTAGTCCTCACGGGTGACAACGCATCTGCATTTTCATTCTTTATTGAGAATAGATGTGGATGTAGGTATATGGGTCACAGCAATCACTTACCATCAGGTGGACTGTGTGCTCGTTTGTCACCCTATCCTATAATGGATTCTGATAAGTGGCAGGATAATGATCTCAGACGTAAAATGCTGAGACCCACGGCAGCAACGTCAAAAGTGTTGCGATCGTCAATCAGAAGTCAAAAGTGCGCGACCATTAAGGCAATCCCTTAATTGGACGGGAGAGGCCCATGTTCGCAGTGAACTTTTACAGGCTGATGAAAAAGAATATGAAATAAAACAATTTGACGAAGTCATGATCAGCAAATATTATGACAATACCTATGATATGATGGTTTAAAGAGACACTAAAAATTGTCGTTAACCAAATAGTTGGGTATTAAGCTCGTTTGTCACTGAAGTAATAACTCTGACCTGGTTTGTGTTTGTGATGAATTAGCTTTCACTATTTACTATTCATTTCTAGCTTACAATTCACCATTATAAACTTTAACTTATGGTCCTCCACGGAGCTCGTTGTTGAGGTCTACATTTTCAGAACTTTCCGTTCGTTCAATCCAAAACGCACCGTGCCTTTATTTATAGAATCTATTTCAAACAAATAACAACAAAGTATTGAATGCTGTCTGTGCAGCATTTGGTGCAAGACTTACTATTTCAAAATAACGCAGTCGCAGACACAATGAAATCAAAGAGAAAGACAAATGAAACAAACGGTGGCAAAAACGTTAATTACTATTTTTGTTTTTATGAACGAATGCATTAATTTAAATATGCAAGATATTAAATTCAAATTACTATATAACGCGGCGT